ATCCTCTTCTGCCTGTTCTGATTCTATTCGTTTGCGTTCGGCGGCGATTGCCGCTTCTTTTTGACGCTTAGCGGCTTCTTTGGCCATGTCGGCCTCTAACGTTTCACGATAGGCCAAATCCTGCTCAGCCTTGACTTGATCACGCTCGGCACGCTCATCTTCTTCGCGAATTTCGTCTTTTAACTGTAATTTGTACATTTCCACTGCATCCATAAGGCGTGACAAGAAGCTATTTAAATCTGAATTGCCTGTGAAATGCCATATAAAAGGTTGTATTGTTAATATGTGTCAATATGTTATAATGTGGATCATATAGCTTACCATCTACAACGGAGAGCACCTCGCATGAAGATCTGCCGGACAACCGACTTTTACCTATAATTAGTATCGAGGGTAGCTTATCAACTGGTTTTGTACTAATTGTTATGGATGCTGTATTGCTCACACAGGCAGTGACCGAAGATAGAAACCTAACGGATTAGTTAAACGATATATTAAATAACTATATTTATATATAGCATACACTTTGACTAACATATTTCTGTTGCTTTCGAATGTTAAGTCCCATCCGTAGAGTATGAAATTCTGTGCAAATGCTTCAATGATCCTCTCATTTTTCATTACCTGATCACAGAATACGTTTGTGAGAATGCTATCACCATGATGCAAATAAATTGCAAGCAGTTTTCGCTGTAAATTAACATTAAAGAGATGTTTATTAGTGAACATTTTTTTCTGCACATTAATGTAGTTTAATTACTTCACGCGCCGGCTTGTGACAAGCTTCGCGAATAGCATCTTCCAAGCTGCCGACATAAAATACGGGATGTGGCTCACCGAAACGTTCGCGATAGTTATCGAAGAACTCTATAGAACCTGTGCATTCATTGCCAATGTTATTTGGAACTGCGTAAATTACCGAAATTAAATGAATATGTTTAAGAAAACTGCGCATATTCAATATATTTACTTAAGTGCCTGCTGCGTGGTGGTGCAGGCTCCTCATCTGGTAAGGGATCATAACCTTCTTCATCGTCTAAACTGTTATCGTCGTCAGTCTCGATGGTATTACTGCAATAAGAATTTTAATTAATAAAATTAAAATGCATGTTAGATTAAGCGCTCACTTGCTAATATTTAAGTTATTAGAAACTCCAGCGATGTCCATATTCTTCTCACACTTGTTGCGCAGTGTAAAATTATGTGACAAACCAATGCCAGATTGCTGAAATGTAATAATATAGATGTATTAAAATGTAATTATTGATGATAACTACTTTTCTTTAACAACTACTACTTTCTAATAATATTTTGTTGCGTAAACACAAAACTTACGGCCAAAGTTAAATTTTCATCACAGTTCGAAGGCCAGCCTTCCCATTCTTGATTTCGCACATTTATATTGCTGACATAGTAAACCTTTGTTTTAACTTCCAAAATAGTGTTACTACCTAAAAATGGTAATGTTATGGTTTTCCCGCTGGGTTGCTCTACAATAGTCAATTTGAATGTGTCACGTAAACGCTGTGCGATTTCCTCGCTGTGCATAGAATAAATCAAATAAATAAATTATTAACTGGTTTAATTGTGTAACAAGTGTTTCCGCTACTTTTCTGTATCGATGTAACCTTCTTCGGTTAGGTTGTGCAAGATCAAGTCGTTTTCGGGTCCTAGATCTAAACTGCCCAATTGTGTGGTTATTTTTCGTGCTTCTTGCAGTTTCGCTGGTGGCCAACCCCGAATTGCTTGTCGGCAAACCGGTACACTTGTCACTTCCGTTATTCTTAATTTTAGTTGTTCTAAAAATAAATGCATATTTTTAAAAATATTCTTACAATTGACAATAATTCATTTAAATTGTTTATACAATTAATGCCTACCAATTGTAGCAATTGATGGCAGACGTATGGTGTAAACACCTTCATTGTAGTGTATGTTTAGTATCAAAGTCTTAACATCGTTGTGCCTTGCCGGGTCCAAGTCCATGTCGGAAGTGAGATCAATTATTTCAGCGTCTGCAGAAGTTGATGCTAAAATAAAATATTTATGCTTGGTTAGAACGTTTTGGATCTCTTAATAAAATATACAGCTTGCAACAACAAAAAAATTATAAATAAATTAATAATAATAGATATGACAACTTATCAGTCACTTATCAATTAGTGTAGATTTGTAGTGTGTATATTATATTTTTATGAGAGAGTGACCTTCGAAAAACTCTGTTAAAAAATTAAAAAAAAAAAATAGCTTACTAAAGATAGAGATACAAAAAAAGAATGAATCTTCTTGGGATATGTCGCTGACAGGTGATAGTTCTTAATCCTGACTGATTTGTAAACTTCAATCGTACGCACACTCTAATCTTACTCTTGAAACTATCACCTACTAATTTTATCAATTATTATTTTATATTAATTCATTTATATAAGTAATAAACAATGCAGTATTATTAAAGTGCTGACTCACCTGTTAAACCCACATTAGGTCCACTAATCGAGTTCCATTGGCGACAGTTGGATGACCCCGCATTTGTAGATAAATCATTGAGGGCTGTTGTGGTCGAGAAACCGGATGAGTGTTCTGTAAACACTGAAGCTGCATTTCTATCATGCGACGGCGCATCATCCTGGGGTATGACACGCTGAATAGCAGTCTAAAATATTTAATCTCATTAGTATTTTGATGATGTCTAAGCAAATCAACAACTAACCATTAGATCCCAGTTGGTCTCCTCCAGATGCGAAAAAGCTTCACCGATATCATCTATTCCAGTGATACTCTAAATAAAAAATTGTAAAATATTATTGTATGTAATACACGTTTTTCGAAAGGACTATTTTTCAAAACTCATTTCGCAGTTAGTTTGGCTTTTTTTGTTATTGTTCAGAATATTATTAATTTAAGAATATCTTTTATTTATTTGGACAAAAGTATGCTTGTCAAGTTGTGTATTGCGACACTTGAAAATATACATATATTCTTTGTCATTTCACAGTCAGACTTATGCATGACACAGCTTAAATTATAAGTGCGCGTGTTGACATTCAAACTAATAGTATTAGCATCCTGTTGTCCACCAACCGTTGTCTAGATAGCAAAGCCACATTAATGAATATACTTGAGCAATCCTTCATTTATATATACATGTGTTTACTTATATAGATACTTTGATATCTAGGTACATATACGAATTGATCTCGCGGAATCATTATCTGTTTTTAATTGATTAGTTTCACTTTTTAACTGCGAGATTTCTTAACATCAATTATATGATAAATTAACTACCTGAAAAGTCGCTAATATATCGTCTTTGTTCTCCGACATTTATATTTTTTGCTTTAGCCTGTATGTTTGATGCTTTTATAGAATGCCTTTAGTATTGTCGATTCCAGCGCTTTCCGTAAAAGCCAAACAAATAATTTATTTACAAATGCGTTATAGACACAGCAAAAGTTTATTAAACGCTAGTTTATGTTAGAAATTTTATTTTTCTTTTGTGTAATAATAAAACACATTGAAAACTACTATTCAGATGAAAACTCGCTCGACTCAATGAAAGTGTTGTCAGTATAGTTTTCTGTACTGTCTTGCATAAAAATCCCCCTCTGTATGACTTACTTGGTGTCAATATGACAGCCATTGTTGCTTGAACGCACACAGGGTGCCTTTACCAATTCTAATATTTCTATTACTTTATCGTTTATTAAAAACTCTTTTTTAAATGGGTCTTAGTTGGTAATATATGCTGGTAAGCCAACTTTAACATTGAAAATTAATTGTGAAATAAGTCTCATCTAATGTGTAATTTGACCTTAAAATTTATATAACGCCTCATTTTTATTTATTTATTTAACAGAAAGATAATTATAAATAATTATATTACAGTTTAAAGGCACTAACTACGAAGGCTATCGGCCTGTTCATGTTTTTTAAAAATGCATCAATCATTGTAAAAATGCTGTTTCCGAAATTACCACGCCTTTCGTTGCTTTAAGCAACCAACTTCAACTTGGGTATATCAGCTGTTTGGGTAAAACATAAATATTTTGATAGCATTTTTGCAAGTAATTTTAAATTCTTGTTCTAAAGGCGGGAAATGTTTTCAACTTTAACATTACAATCGCTTTTAATTTAGTTTTCCTTTCTTTGAGAAAACTGTTTATTTCTTATTACTGTTGCATGTTTTTACAATAATATTATTCTAAATTTCAAGAAACGCAGCAACGGCAGCATATTGAATTATTTTATGTGGTCATAACAGCAACAGGAAGTTTAGGAATTTTTATTTCCTGTGCAATTTTGTCTGCTTTCACTTAAAGAATTGAAAATATTTCAATCAAGTCGGGGGGATAATTCCATTTCATATACATAATAGGTGTCCAAATCAGTTTTAATGATGATGGCGGTTCAAGAAAGATATATTTAATTATTTGGTGGTTTTACATACTGTCTTTATTTACGCAAACAAGCCAGAGTTGATTGCGTTGTTTATTATTGTATGTGGCGCCTATTTTCAAAGATTATAAATTAATTTTATATACATATTTATTATTTAATTTAATATATCCAATATGTTTTAAGTAAATAAGAAATAAATTTCTTTTTATTAAATTGCTTTTTAATTAATTATTTAAGTACTAGATAATTTTGGAACAAATTGGTAATAGCAATACAAAAAGTGTGGATGTTGACTTATGGTGATGGTATTGACCTCTATTTTTGGAAAATGATAATTTGAAAGAATAGGTAAATATAGACTTCTCATATTGTGGGATATTTGGGCATTTCTTTCTAGGTATTAACTTTGTTGTTGCTGTAGCGATAGAAAATATTTCCGAAATGAGTTTGCGGAATTCTGAAGTATTGACTGTCTTATCCAGCTAAAAAGTCGGGTCTGTTCCGCTTTTTTTCTCAGTTCGAACTAGAAGCTCTTACAGTTATTTTTCAAATTTTCAAAATTAGTTTTTGCAATATTAGCATATTTATTTACAAACATACATATATTCGTTGAGATATTATATACTGTGAAATACTGAACTACTGTTCTACAATAACAATTTACAGCGTCCATTTGAAAACATATTTTTATGTATTTACAGAGCTAAGTATAGATAAATAATTATATTTTCACACAAATGTTCAACCAAAACACAAATGCGCAGCTGCCGCCTTCCGTTATATATACATATACTCTTGAAAATACTAAGGCCACAAGTGTTTAGCGTGTTGACAAATGGAAGCTGATACTGCACTTTGATTTCGAAATCTCTGTTAGAAGCCATCGTCAACAACGAGCGCAATTAAGTAATTGAGTTTTAAACGTTATAGAAATTCATACTGAAATGTTGTGCGCGGCGAAAGGTTTAACTGTAATTGCTAGTATATTAGCGTACTTGTTTGTAAAGACAGCCGCCATTTCGGAAATGTGGCCAGGAAGTCCTACAACAACAATGCCGCTACATTTATCGGAAATCGTCAAAAATCTGCTAAACAATATTGAAAAAGACGGCGATTGGAATGAGAACGTCGATTCGGCTTTGTTGTTCATTGAGTTTTTGGTAAAACGTAAGTGGAAATGCTAAAAAAGAAAAACTATTTAAAAAAAAATATAATAAAGTGGAATGAAAAGAATAAATTAACAAAAAACAAAAAAAATATGTATATATGAAAAACATCGAAAAATTATTGAACGTAATTGAAAAATAATAATAATACTTAATTATTAAATTTCAAAATTCAACTATATTGTTAAATAACATCTTTAATGAACAAAGTTTGTTTCCGATTTCGCACAGAAAAAGTGCAACAACAAAAGTCTTCAGTATTGGACACAGCGATTGGCAGTTTATATTTGGAAATTCTGGAAAAAATTAGCTTCATACGTTTGAAAGTGATTCAGAGCTTTGGTACGCACAATTTACAAGCTGTCTTCCAACACAATCTAATGATAACGGGTTTCACGTTAAGACGGAATCAAATTGATAAAAACTTGGAATTCAAAACATTGGCGCAAAATTATTCATCGCTTCTCGGAACGGGGTTTCCGAATGATACATTCGCAGGTATGTTTGAAAAAATAATGTATTCAAAAGCAGAACCGAGTTTCAAATGTATTTTCTTAACTCTTATTGCAGTTTGTAAATATATCTTAAATTTAGAAAAAATTTTCATTAGGCACTTGAATTGTCGAGTATAATTACGTATGGTGGTATAGAAACTAACGGATTGTAAGATGAGCTTAAAGTGTTTAGGTTATAAATTAAAACATAAGTACTATAAATCGAACCAAAATGAGGTTAAGTTGAATAATTGTTTTTTGAGGCAAATAATATAATTGAATTAAATAAAAGAGTATCATACATATTTTTCCATATTAAGAAATAATAAATATGTGTATATTTAACTTTATTCTGTTATTTTTTTTTCGAAAAGGCCTGTGTTTGATGCATTCACAAGGTCTGGAACTATGTGAGCGATTGCGACGCACTTGTCTGCCCGTGATTAAAATCAATACACCCACATATGGTTTTCGGCGTACACATCAGTAAGTAAACCGAAAATTACTGTTAATAAATTTATACATAATAATATCGTTTGCAAACATACCTACATATATAATGCGCATTAATTTTTCTATAAACATTTTTTATTTTTTATTATAGAGCTTTACAGTTATTTTTTCTTATGCACCATAACTGTGGACGCTTTTATGGTACCCGACTGTCCTTCGAAATTTTGGCCACCGAGCATTGCTCACAGGTGTATCGTGAACATCAGTTAATCGCCGCGCTTGACAGCAAAGAATGGCAGGAGTTGTATATAGAACAGAGTAAGCCCTGTCTCAAAAAAATTTTTTTTGTTCATCCTATGTAAAATAAGTGTGGTTTTGCAGCACTATGCCTACACAATGTAAAAAAAACGTTAATAGTATTTTGGTGGAACAAACTAATGTTAAAATTTGTTAACATTAAATTAACCTAAAAACCCGTTTATTTCTTTTCAAAATTTTTTTGAAAATTTTAAAAAGCTGTTTTAACACTAACTACCTTCGATCAGAAATAAATTGATAATATATAGAAATATCCATATGTATATAGAGTATATTTTTAGCACGAAATATTTTTGTGAAATATTTTACCTCCCAGTTCTCATCCAAATTGGTTTCTCTGTTTTTTTTAAATTCCTTTAAATTAAATAAAAATATAAGTTATACCACCTAACATTTTTTTGAGGTTATTTCATTAACGATAATAAGAATTTACATTAAGAAGTAAAACAAAACATAAAAAATATATTTAATAATTTGTAATTTTGATGTTGCCAAATTTTAAATATTTTAAAATTACTTCATTTACCGTTTTTTGTATTCGAATTTGAAAAAAGTTAATACATAATATTTTGATTGAATTTGTGTTGCCAGATCAATTAATAATTAAAAAAGAATATTTTTTTTAATAAAAAATAATTTTAACAATTTTGCGTGTAAATAAACAAATATTTTGCAAGATGTTTGTCTTACTGACTTTATGAAAAAATAAAGCGGTGCTTTTAACTGTTGCGCACTGTAATACTTATACACATTTTTTTTCACAGGTGCGATTTGCGGCCTTTTTGGTTTTGCGGAGTTTCTAAACGTCGAGGAATTGACAAAAATTATACACTGGGAAAGTGCTGCCACTTGTGGTTGCATAAAATCACATTTAATTAGCGATATACCGAGCAACTGCCATTGTACGGACCACAAGCACGTCGTTTTGTTGGTGCAGTTTGTCAACGCTATGCTTTTCTTGATTTAAGGCGAAATTTAAGTACTTTTATTTATTCTAAATATTTTTAAGTGAAATTAAATAAATTTTTACACATAAGTATATTAAAAACTGAAAAAATAGTGTTTTATTAAAAAAAATTTTAAAGACATTTTTTTCCATTTCTGGCTATGTTGAAATGCTATTATATATATATATATATTATATTTTTAATAAAAACTTTAACCGATTTTTTTGAAGGACGAGCATCTTGAAGTTCTGTGCCGCCCAAATTGATTAATTACTGAATCTATCTGCTCGAACTTTTGTACTCCAGCAAATTGAATCGAATAATCTTTTGCTTAACACCGCGTGTTTTAATCTTAAACGAGCAAACATACAGATACCAACTAACCAATTCTTATTGTCATTCTATTTTTAAGCTACCATGAGAGCAGTGTGGCTATAAGAAAGTTGTATTAGTTGTTAATATTTTTCAAACCTTATTGAAATTATTCCTAAATTCTCAAGTTGCTCTGAGCAACAGTTTTGAAGATATAGTGTTCAAAAATTGCGCGCTTGTGGTCAGTTATATATTATATGTAAAAAAAATTTATTGAAAATATGCCGTTTTTTGCTCGCTTGCACCCATGTAACCCTCTAATAATATAAGTATACAAAACCAAAAGTGACACTAAAAGTGCCACAATATATGTTATTTATTCTTGGAGTGAAAAGTGACGAAACGAAAAGCAAGTGGTATACAATAACTAGATGTTTTATGACCCTTAGCATAACAACAGAAGATAGTTGGCGATTCCAGGAATGCTCTTATATTATATAATTACATTCCTATACGAGAAATTATGATGCTTATGTGCTTCGCGGTCAGTCTTTAATCTCTGGAAATTCATCTAAATCAATCGGACAAATGGCGGCCTCAGGAAATTTTTTTCCAGACAACAACAGTTAATTTCTTATAAAAAAAATCGAAATTAAACAAGTAAGGAAGGGCTAAGTTCGGATGTAACCGAACATTTTATACTCTCACAAAGTCAAATGGTATACTCGTTTTAAATTTCTTTGTGGATCTTGCCGCCTTGTTCTATGTTGACCGGTAAAAAGTCAACTATAGGCACTGAGGGCTTGAACAATTTTGGTTAAATTTAGATAATTTTTGGTCACAAGGTGGCATACTTTAAACGTATTATTTACGCAAAGTTTTACGCCGATATAATCAGTGGTACTTGATTTGCATACTGAGAAGTGAAAAAATCAGATGGAATTTGAAATGATGTTATATGGGATATAGTCGTGGTTGTAATCCAATTTCGCCCATTTTCGTACTATAATATAGAAATATGAGGAGAATATTATGTACCGCATTCGGTTGAAATCGGTTAAGCAGATCCCAAGATATGGGTTTTCACCTAAAAAGCGGTGCTACGCCCACTATCTAATTTTGAACGTTGTTCCTATAAAATCATCTTATACCATCCCAGAGATAAAATTTAATGTCTCTGGCTTGTTTAGTGCTTGATTTATCGCGCTTTTAGCAGCACCGTTATATGGGAAGTGGGCGGGGTTGTCACCCGATTTCCCCCATTTTCACACCCTCGATAGAGATGCTAAAAACATTTGTTTCCAGTGAATTTTGTTATTATAGCTTTAGTGGTATAGGAGATATGCACATTAAACTTATGCCCCTCTCTAATGTGATTCTGTATACCAAATAAGAGTCTTGTACCTTGTTGTGGAGCTTAGTTATGGCAATTTATTTGTTTTTGATTAATGGCGTTTTGTGGGCGTGGCAGTGGTCCGATTCCGCCCATATGCATTACCAACCGTCTTACGATACCAAGAAACATGTGTACCAAGTTTCATAAAGATATCTCAATTTTTACTCAAGTTACAGCTTGCACAGACGGACAGACAGTCACCCGGATTTCAACTCGTCTCTTCCTCCTGATCATTTATATATATATATAAACTTATATCTAACTCGATTAGTTTTAGGTGATACAATCAACCGTTAGGTGAACAAGACTATTATACTCTGTAGCAACAAGTTGCGAGAGTATAAAAAGTTCTTCAATTAGGCACTAGTTTTTCATGTTTTCGAACAGCAACCAAGCGGTATTCAAGCTACAGTGGTCACTAGTTTAAAAAACATAGTTTTGAGAACAATGCATTTTAAGTTTTACACTTATTTTACTAGTCGCTTGCTGCTGCTGCTCTCGTACGTTCCGGAGCGCCCGACAACCCTTTGCTAATTATCAAATAACTCGAAAAGTATTTGTCGGATTCAGTTAAGAAAATGTTTCTAAGACATTTAAGAAAAAAAATCGATTTTATGAAAATTCTGACTTCTCCCAACAATATAATATATACATTTATTATAGTAATGAATGTATGTATATAGAAATGTTCATATGATTTCTTCTATATAATAGTTGTATTTATATTTATATGTATTCATATTATTTTATGGTATATTTTTATTGAACTAAGTATATGTACATACATATATACAAATATTTAGATATGAACTACGTGTATACATACATACATACATATGCCGTCGCGTTGCTAGATACAATAAGTTTCAATTTTAACCATATTTCATTGCTCTGTACGTTTGTATATCCATATGTATACCTATACAAGTATGTAGGTAGAATCGTATGCGGAGCTTTTGAACCAGCATGTACGGCAATACCTTTAAATATAAATACAAATGTCCGTTTGTTGGTTTTGCTGGAAAGCATCTGCAATCAATTTATTTGTATTAAGAAAAATGATGAACCTTTGGTTGGATTTATGGGCTACACTGGAAAAACTTACTCTGGTTAAATGAAAAATGTTGGTTAATTTTTATCTTTTATACGAAGATATGATGGGAATAATTTTCAAGGAAATTGGTCAGAATCGGTCAAGTCTTTGGTGCCACGCCCATTACCCAACTACTAAAAAATGGCGTGTATAGGCGTTAGACCCTTAAGTGCATAGCAGAAGTTCGACTCAGTCTATTTGCATTAAAAATTACAGTAACAAATTAATCAATGTTTTCGCAGAAAACCGCGTTTTTCCTACAAAGTGTTTCCGTAAAGTGAAAAATTGAAATATCGAGAAACCCTCCTATTTCGATTATCTAACGATATAATTTTGATTTCAGATGATCCAGCACCGAGGTAGGAGGGGCACCGCAATTCAACTTTTTTCTAAGACGCTCCAGAGTAATTGTTGTCATTGTCGTATTTTTTAATATTTCTCCATGAAAATTTATTATTCAATTGTCATACTATAATGTACATATAACTTTGGTTTTCAAAAATGGATTTTAACTGTTTCATAAAAAAAAAACATAAAAATCCGTATTGTTTTACAAGTCCAGTCATCCATTAAATGTTGAAGAAACGAGTGAATTATGGCTATGTAATGTAGTAGAAGCTTCAATAAATAATCTATCTTGTTTGTTTTCGATGTTGGTCTGGTTTACCAGTCTGGTACCTAGGTCTGATTTGGCGTCGTGACAATAAACTTTTGGATGAAATTTAGAATAAGACTAATATTTTTCCAAATGGAATAACTTTATAATGGACAATTGACTTTAGATCAAAACTTTAGTCGTCAGAAATTAAAAAAACCCTGCATTTTGAGAGAAACTTTTTTTTAACTTTTTGAATGGAAGATGGTGAATATTTGTTTAGTACTTTAATCTAGACTGTCTCGCTTCATCTAGACCAGGTTTGAAGCATTCTGACGTTCACTTAGTTCCATTAGTTTATGGAAAATGCTAGATATCATTGAAATTAGTCAACTACATAGATTTGTAATGGGCTCAGAAAGTTTCGTCGGTATATAGAGCGTTTTTCCGTAATCAGGAATTATGGTTTCCTAAACGGATATTACTGACAATGACCACTTCTACCTAATCGGTTTTGAAATTCCTTTCGTAAATTTAGTATCTTGCAAAAGTGTAGAAGTGTTTTTAATATATAAATAGCTGACTTCAGTGCTATTGGCTGCAGGCTTGATATTCTTGGTTTTTTAATTTTGTTAGTCAACAATTGGTCAATAGGAAAGAAAGTGAACACTGCTTTTAATTTCCAAATATTATATCCAAAAAACAAAACTTAATCATTATAATGTTTTTCTTTCAGTGCATGGCACTTGGATCGCATAAATAGTGACAAATTATTGTCTGAATGTGTGTAGTAAGATCTAAGTGGTCATGCTGTTGTACATTTGTTGTACTTTGTCATCAATGGCTTTAGCTGGCGTTTGGAAATTTTCTAAACAGTTATATCGAATCAAAACAATTGTAAAAGCCGTTCGAAAATGTTGTGCTCGGAAAGTAAAGCAATAATCTTCACCTCGTTTGCTTTAGGAATGCTACTCTTTGTTACCGAGACCGATGCAAACAATTCGAGTTTGGGTAATATTGTCAAGAACCTAGTCACGAATATGGAACAGAGCACAGTTTGGGATGAAAATTTACATTTCTCACTCATCTTTGCCGAGTTTGTAATTAAACGTATGTCATTTTCAAAATCCGGTAATCTTGCATTTCAAATAAAATCAAATTAATTTTCTTATGTGTTTTAGAAAAGGTGCGTTTTTATCAGCCAACACGTTTCGAGAGTCAACTTTATGAGGATATTTTGAAACGCATCACAACTTTTAGAGCCAGATTTATTGTTAAGAACGGTATTGGTCGACTGGATAATCTGTTGCAGAAAAATGTGAGATTGATTAAGCCTGCTGTGATTGAAGATCAAATTAACACCGAGTTGGAATATATAACGCTGAAGCGGACTTATGGGAAGTTACAAAATACTGGATTTCCAAGCTCAACATTGTCAGGTGAATTTATTTCGATTAGAAACTCGAAGGAGGTAGTAATAAATTTCTTCCCCAGATTATTGCCTGCTACATATCAGCTCTTTAGATGACTGTGATGCAATTGAGAAGCAATGCCTTCAGGTGATAAGCTCCAATGCGCCCACATATGGTTATCGTCGTATGCATCAGTAGGTTAATTTGTATATAAATATATTTAAAGTTTTACATAACCTCAATAATTTATAGAATTTTAATTCTTTATGTGCTGATGCATCATACCTGTGCACCGCATTTGGGTCCACAAATCGTCTATGAAATTTTGTCAACGCAACATTGTTCGGAAGTTTATCGTGAACATCGGCTCCTAGCCGAGTCATATTCGCAAGCTCGTCGAGATTTGTATATCGAACAAAGTGAGTCATTTATATTCTTGAAGCATAAATATTCTTTTACATATTTTTTTTTTTACTTTCCAGGTGCTTTGTGCGGCCTTTTTGGCTTTAAGGAGTTTCTTAATAAGGCGGAAGTGCGAAAAATTGCCTCATGGGATAAGTTCGGCATTTGCAATTGTGTCGGCGAAATAACGTTTTTCCAGGCTTCTAATGAAGAGGACATATGCAAGTGTGGTGACCATGCACACAGCGTGGCATTGCTATTTTATGTGAATGCTATGTTGTTTTTGTATTAAGCAAACATATACATGTGGACATTAGGGTGAGCCAAATATCGAATTTATGCGTTAAAATGAAGCTATATACAGTGAAAAACAAACTCCCTGAAAGACAGGAACTTTAGTGTAATTTTTAGGGGGTGTCGGAGAGCATTCGAAGTTTCCTATACAAATAACAGGTAAAAAATCTGTTTTCAACAATACTATAACTTTTGAGCTTTTTAGAATACATTTTTTTACAGTGAAGATTCTTGTAGAGCATAAGATTTCCCAATAAATCAACTCCATGGAGTATTTTTTGATTAAAAATTTTCATATTTAACAAACAAACCTAGATTCAAATTTAATAAAATAACTTTATTTTGGCTCACCCTAGTGTATGTATATACAAGTATGTACTTATATAAAAAGTTTTGCTGTTAAATAACTCGTATCTGGAGTGTGCTTTATTATGAATATTGAATATACGTAAAATATATAAATATAAATGTATATAAAGAAATATATATAAAAATATATATGTACATTGTATATCTAAATAATGTATTGCTAATTTATTATTATCGATAATCCGTTTATTATAACTCGCACTAGATTCATACGTTTCCTGTACACAGAGAACTTGATTATCTCGATAGAATTTATATTTTAAATTTACTGTTTGTTTACGGCGCAAAGTCTTTGTCTGGCGATATTTAGCACGGAAAAAAATTTGAACAATGAGTTTGTTTGAACATTGTTTTTCCAATGGCATCACAGATACGGAATCGTTGATAATGTTGCAGTAGTGTTTTGGGAAGACTGCTTTATTACGAACACAAATATTTGAATGGGTAGATTTCCAAGCACGAATTGTCATTCACAGTGATAGCCAAGCGGCACTTCAGGCAATCTCGTCCGTTGATATTCAATCAACAGTGGTACTGGAGTGCATAAAAATGATTAATAGGGTTATCACTGAAAATAACACTTTATCAACATATACCCCTGGGTATAGAGCCATCAATGAAAATAATCTAGTTAATTTCCTGGCGAAAGAAGCTGCGGCATCCAGTCCGATAGGGAGGGAACCGTTCTTCGCTGTGGGGCCCCACACTTTATGAGAGAGCAGCCTACGGAAAGAGGAAAAGGCCAGTGAAAACATCACTCGTAACAAGTGCTTGGGCTTCGACAGGCGAGGTGTTTCTGGGAAAGTTCGATTGAAAACGGTTCAAGAAACTAATCGCTCTTCCCAGAAATAAATTAAGGCAGGCAGGTGCTGTGATTCTATACAGTTCACTAAATGATAAGGTGTCATCTACATATATTAAGGTACTGCTCCACGGATCTGTTTTGCTTCTGTGACCAAATAGAAGAGACACTAGAACATATACTCCTTGATTGCCCTGCAATCGAATGAATGTCAGCTATACAACGATTAACCTAGGAGTTTTACTAAGCCTTTTTGATTTGATTTGGCTGAACGAAGTGTTGTGTCGCAGTGCATTCCTCAAATTTAAACCTATCTATCTACGTAGAACCGGTTGTTGCGTTCTTATGCACAGCATGGCTTGCTGCATTCTTTAAGCCTCTACGAGGGTCTACAAAAGATAGACTAAAATTTTGGAAACAATTGCGATTTATTTCACAATATAGTCTTTCTGGAAATACGCAAAGTATTAGTTTTGTGTTTCGCAATTTCATACCAGAGAGTTTGAAAGTGCCAAACCAAAATAATTAATGTGAATCTGATTTTTTGCACACTCTCCTAGCTACTTTAGTAGTCCTTGTAGAAGCTGCGGATATAATTGTGAAAGGATAGTTGCGGTATAAACATATGTTGTTGTTTTTAAGTCGATTTCGAAATAGAGCGTTTTTCTGTTGAGTATGTTTTGTATTGCTTTATGAAAAAACGATATGAAAAGGTTTCAGCCGCTCAACTTACACATTCGAATTTCTCTAAGAGGTCATTTCGTCAATGCTGATTACATTCTCGCCCCTTGTAATTTGATAATCTGAAATTTACACCATTATTGTGTCATTAGTTCATAATCTATGAACTGGCAACTACATATAAACATGTACATACATGGGAAGAATTCAAAAAAAACATAAATGACTTGTATGTGGACATAAACGAATGAAGGGGTGCGAAAAAAGGATTTAATACAAGTAGTATACATATTTAGGCACATTAAGGTGGAGCTATAACATGAGGACAATATTATATGTTTAACTTGTTGTAATTTAATAGAAATGTATCGTGGCCCTTAGAAAAGATGTGAAAGAGTTGTAAAAACGTTGTAAAAAATATCATATTTGTATATAACATTTTGATGTGTTCTCAACTTAATACCGCAATAATAATTTAATTTAAGTGCTTAAACAAAAAGAAGAAAAGCGATAAATATTAATCTATTTCTGAACTAAAATGCAACTTTTGACAGATCTGTCAAAAATGTTTTAAAAATTCGCTCCACCGTAATATAAATATAAACAAATATTTATTTAACACGCTGTACTCTCCGTTATTTTAAATGACATAAATGATATACCGTTTAATATGAAGTCAAGGCACATAGGATGAGCGGGTGTCAGCAGCAGGGTTGTAATTTGGATCTTTTTAGACCCCGAACAGGGAAAAAATTGTTCAGATTGAGCTAAGAATATCGCAATTTATATCCTTTTATGCAATAAAGAATGCACCTGTTAGCGTATTATAGTTTCGGTGTAGCCGAAGTTAACGTTTTTTCTTGTTATACTCTAGAAACTTGTTGCTACAGAGTATAATAGTTTTGTTCACCTAACGGTTGTTTGTATCACCTAAGACTAATCGAGTTAGATACAGGGTTATATACATGTAAATGATCAGGATGAAGAGACGAGTTGAAATCCGGGTGACTGTCTGTCCGTCCGTCCGTCTGTGCAAGCTGTAACTTGAGTAAAAATTGAGATGTCTTTATGAAACTTGGTACACATATTTCTTGGTATCGTAAGACGGTTGGTAATGCAGATGGGCGGAATCGGACCATTGCCACGCCCACAAAACCCCATTAATCAAAAACAAATAAATTGCTATAACTAAGCTCCACCATAAGATACAAGACTCTTATTTGGTATACAGGATCACATTAGGGAGGGGCATCGGCAGTTTAAATTTTTTTTAAGGTGGGCGTGGTCCCGCCCCCTAATAAGTTTAATGTACATATCTCCTATACCACTGAAGCTATAATAAACAAACAACAAAGGGTGTGAAAACGGGTGAAATCGGGTGGCAACCCCGCCCACTCCCGATATAACGGTACTGTTAAAAACTACTAAAAGCGCGATAAATCAAGCACTAAACAAGCCAGAGACCTTAAATTTTATATCTGGGATGGAATAAGATGATTTTATTGAAAGCACGTTCAAAATTAGATAGTGGGCGTAGCACCGCCCACTTTTAGGTGAAAACCCATATCTTGGGATATGCTTAACCAATTCCAACCAAATTCGGTACATAATATTCTTCTCATATTTCTATATTATAGTAGAAAATGGGCGAAATCGGACTACAACCACGCCTATATCCCATATAACATCATTTTAAATTCCATCTGATTTTTTATCTTTCTAGTATGTAAATCAAGCAACAATGATTATATCGGCGTAAAACTTTGCGTGAATAATACGTTTAAAGTATGCCACCTTGTGACCAAAAATTATCTAAATTGAACCAAAACTGTTCAAGCCCCTAGGTACTGAATATGTGGGCCCCAGTGCGTACAGTTGACCTTCTACCGAAAATATCGCTCAACATAGAACTTCCCTTAATTGTTTTCATATCACTTGGTTTCTAAAACTGATAGTTTCTAAGCTAAAATATTTCTAATTAATTTTGAAAAATTAAGCACTTGTGATTTTCTCTTTAGAATCTTTTCTCTTAAGAATAACTTTATTTAACCAATTCATATGTAGCTAAAGCTTCTTGTCCAAAAACGGTAATACGCTGAACTAAACAGCACCAAATTTCTGAAATTGCTGAAAGCTAATAAATCAGTTGTATTTGAGACTTCTTCAACAACGCTTTCAACTCAACTCTCTGTTTTGCCAGATTTTTTGTTTTGCTCACATCGACGCATGCGCAGTTCCTTGATTCGTATGCTCTCACCCTCAGGTGGTAGTGACAGTAAAGTGCCCCCTCAATTGCATAAATCTCTTTATTTTGAAAATATCCAAATTTTTGGTTGATTCAATTTACTTTAGAGCTGCTGTAGAGGCCAAGTGTGTTGGCCGTTACTTGGAACAACTGTTGTCCCAGGGTTGCTTCATATGAAACATCCTTTCGGATTTATTCGTAATTAAAGATTTCAGACGTGAAGTTTAAACTTAAAACAGTAATCATAAAATTGTCTTGCCAGTTAAAAAAAGTAACAATCAAAGTTGACTAAAATTTTTATTTTTCTCTTTAACACCCTATAAAAAATAATTTTATTGGATATTTTATTTTTTATACTTCAATGAAGTTCATATGATTTTCTTGTTCAACAATCATCATCCCAAACAATTTGTGGGAACATTTGTTGGGAATTTTTAAGTTTTTTAATGGTGTTATTGAATGGTTTCTTTTTCTAAGCTCAATTTATTAACTTTAATATTTTTATTGTATTATTTTGTATTGCTAAAGTTTTAAAATTCATGCGCTTTCATTTAAAAAAGAAAATGTCTGAAAAGACTTTTGTCTTTTATTTTATTTTTATATTCGGCGATGTATTTATCGACTAATCTGTATTTTTATATTTTTTCGTGAAATAATATAAGCTCCAATATTTCACAAAGACAAAATAAACCATTTTCTAAACTACCGTTAATTTAGTTTTCCGAAATATTTTAAGCTCTGAACAGAGTACCGTTAACATATAATATATAAAGTCTTCGGTCAATTACGATGGTTCTATAACCAAATATAATAAATGTATCTTAAGAATAGCTCGGATCATCATTTGAGAAGCTTTGGATAAGACGAAGATAGAAATAAAATTTGTCTATACATAAAGTGGTTTCTTCTTCTTTACTCAAAAGTGGACGTGTCGCTATCCATTCGGTTGTTAATGTAATACATATTGTGTATATAAAATAGAGAGTATAATAGTTTTGTTCACCTAACGGTTGTTTGTATCACCTAAAACTAATCGAGATAGATATAGAGTTATATATATATATATATATAAATATATCGTCTGGTCACCCTGATTATTTATAGCATATATATATTAATCCGGGTGTCTGCCTGTCCGTTCAAGCGATAAACAGTTAAAAAAAGTGGGCGTGACCCCGCTCTCTAATTGGTTAAATGTACATATCTCCCAAACCGCAGAAGCTTTCTCAACGAAACGCACTGAGAAGAAGTATTTTTAGCATTTCTTTATACACTGTGAGAAAATCAAAAGGATAAAATCAATTAATAACCTCGACCAGTCCCCATATAACGGTTCTATTGAAAACTACTAAAAGTGCGATAACTCACTGAATAAAAGAGCCCCAAACATTAAACTTCACATCCAGGATGGCAGGCAAGGGCTTTATGGGATTCGGTGTAAAAATTGCATAATGGGCTTGGCACCGCCCACTTTTAGGTGCTAATCCACATACTGTAAAAATAAGCGAAATTGGATGACAACTACGTCTACTTCTCATATAATTCAATTTCAAATCCTATATTCTTTCACTTTATAGTATACAAATCAAACATCAATGCAATAATTAGGATAAATCTTTGCACCAATAGTGCCCTCAAGCAATTAAATCTAACGCCCAAAATTTTTGGTAATTGGGCTATAACTTTTCAAGGACCCAGACATCAAATATGTGGATACTAGTGCACATGGCTGATTTTTTATCGAACATATCGGTTAGTCTATGAATTCTAGTATTTAAATTCGGCCCTTAGCCCAAATGCTTAATATAATACATACATATTTTCGAACTTTCGGTTAACTTTATACCGCATTTATCGGTCAATATGTTAAAAATCTTAATTGAATTCCGAAAGAATATCTTACTAAATAGTGTATCTTCTTGCCTGTGATTGTAAATAATATATGGAATACTTCCTACTATTAAATATACACTTTACCTTGTGAAAGTATAAAATGTTTGGTTACACCCGAGTTAGGATCTTTCTTACTTGTTAAAATATACCGTTATTTGGGAGTTAAGAGTGGCTATACTCCCATTTTCAGAATTCCCAAAATCAACCAATGATTCTTATAAAATATAGATAACAATTCTTAACCCATTGAACCAAAGTGGCAACACTGGTTTGAAATTTGATTCGATTCTACTAAATAACCGGTGAAAAACAAATTAAGTTGGCAACACTCTATTAACTAGCACTCATATTTTGTAAACAGGACTTCCTCTCACCAAATCTACCTATAAAGAGAGCAACGAATATGATGTAATGCAAATGACGGTAACGGTAACTCAGAATTCAGCTACCACAGCGCTGGCTCGTTCAAACGGTTTGGATTCGCTAGTCTCCCGTCAATTAGAGTAAACGTAACGGTAACGAGCACGCAGCTACGCGCTAAGCAAATAATTCTTACACAGGATACCACCAAATAACGAATATACATACTTATGTGCATACACATATATTTTCATTTTGCAAAAACGGTCTTGCTAAAATATTACTAAATGTTCGACAGCGCCGCGAAGTGATGAGGTAAAGGCAAGAGAAAATTGTGTTTTCAAATAATTATAAATAAATAGTGAATCGAAAGTTATGAAATAAAGTGAAAAGGCTCGATGCAAGGATATGTGCACACATAGAAACATACTTACATGCAAGTACATAAAATTGGGGAACTTCAAAGTGCTCCTACTCTCTATACACACACAAACATATTTGCAAATATAGGAAGGCACGTAAGAGGACAAATTTTTCGCAGGATTCGGTATGCGATGTGAAGGAAAGAAAGGTCTTTTGATTAACAAAACTCGAAAATTCGGTTTGAGAATTAAAAAAAGTAAATGATTCTAAATTGTTTTGTGTATTGTAAGTGTGTGTGCTAGTTAAGAAAAAACTATGTTAACCGTAATTTTGTGCTTGAAATCGTGTGTGGAATAGATAATAATTTTACTTATCTAGGAACGTTTGTATAAAAAAAAGCAAACAAAAAAAAACATAATAATAATAAATATAAAAGAAAGAGTGTGCCTGAATAACACCAATGCACTGAAGGACATTAATATTCATGCATAGTGCTACACGCAAATCCTTAGCCATCAGTTAGACCCGCTTGTATAGCCACGGCAAAGAGTCGATGCGTCACCTCGCATACGTTGCACCAGCCCCCGCAAAAGTTAATCCACCTTGTTTGCTGCCAAAAGGTGTTTGCGCGTTGTGCTATATACATACATACACACATATATGTACACATGTGTGCATATGTGTGTGCGTGCGTCTCTGCGTAATTATTGTTTGGTTTGGTAAAAAGTATTGCTGAGCTCGCGCTATTGGCGCTTGGTGAAGGTGGTGGCATGTTTATTTTTGTGTGACCAGGTACTTATTTGGCTTTTGTTCAGTGAAATCAGCAGCGAGAACGTGCGTATAAAAGCTGAATAAAATTTGAACATGCACATTTTTATTATTTTGCCATGGACACCGCCTCCAATGTGAATATGTTTTTGATATTTCACAGTAAAATAAATTAGTGAAATTTATACGTAATTATAAAATATATACATACATACGTACATGTGAAGAAGACTTCAGTGACTTTTGAAAAAAAAGTATTTTTTAGATTGCCTCTTCCAGCATCATCTATCGACCTCCATACATTTAGTAGAACCAATATTGAATTCTTCGACTGATATTTATTCGACCATAGAGCTCAATATAATATTCACCGTTAGCGGCTTTACGCTATTCAAGGTGTTTGTATTCTAAAAAATAACAACACCAGCTTTTTCGACGCACATTTTTAAGTTTTGGGTCTTTTTTAAGGGTTCAGCTTTAGAAAGAACCTCTCATTTCTGGCTCTTCGTGATCGCTAATGTTTTATACTAAATTCAAATTTCGTTCTTAGCCGCGATCCTTAAAAAATTCTTCGTATCTGCGCTTTGAGTTCATAAAACATAGATTTTGTTGAAAGTTCAGTAGAAAAATCGGATTCGGTATAAATTCAGCCGGAAGTTCGAAAATCTTTCTATTATGTATATGTGAATTATTGATCTGATTCTACCATTTTTGACATACAGGCATACTATTATCAGAAAAGGATTCTTCGAATTCTATAATATATCTTACAGATTGACCGATATTTTCGATAAAAAGTTCGTAATAGGAACTGTGGTCCACATTTTCGGTATCTGGGGACTTGAATAGTTTTGGTCCGATTTGAACAATTTTTGCTCATAAGGTGGCATGCCCCAAAGGCACTATTCGAACACCAGATACATTGATTGGTTCTTGATTTGTATACTAGGAACAGATCTAATTTAAAGTTGGGTTATATGAGACGTGGTTGCAGTCCGACTTCGCCCATTTTCATAAATTTTCAGGAATGTCGAAATAATCCTATATACCAAATTTAGTTGAAATCGGTCGAGTAGATTCCGAGATATTGGATAATAATAAATTATCAATAATATTAGTAAAATTATAATGAAAATAATATTAATAAAAACAACAACAATAATAGCGATCACAATTTCATTCCAAAAATCCAACAAACTGCGTTGAAAAGTTGAAATACCATAAGTTACGTATCCGCCATGGCGCATCGCAAATTTTCTCTCATTCAGAGCAAATACTGATGATTTTTACTAAATGTTCACTAATATATATATATCACGTCGAAACACCGACAAATTGTGCCCATTTTGATATACGTACGATACTTTTAAATTAAACGACTTTCATACTTGGATCGATTTAATTACATATAATAGAAGTAAATGCTACGCGCGATGGTTCTTTAATTGAAAGCAAACAAATGTACTCAGTAACAAACATACAAATATACAAACATAAATGTGTATACAAATACACATTTGTCTTAAAGTACCCAGCCGATCAGGTGAACAAAAGTATATATGTATATACATATATACCATATATGTATGTGTAAAAGTAATTTATGTGTGCTTCAAGTACTCCTCCATAAAAGTAGAAAAGCATTCCATGTAGGAAATTTTTAGCGTAACTTCAGAATGCAAAATTCTGAAATACTTTCATAAGCACGGCACGTTGAAAAATTATCCTGTTTTTGATAATATTGAGAAATATTTTATTCTTTTGGAAAGGAAATAATGAAAAAGTAAAAGCAAGACTAAATTTATTGTTTTGTAAAAATTTTGTTCGACTTTTTTATCAGAATAATTTCAAAAATTTTCACTGACTATTCAGACTGCTCACATGTATCAAAAATAACCTTGCTTGAATTACGAGGATGCGTTTTAAAGTGTGGGGATTGTGATGGAAATGGTTTAGAATTTTCTACGTTGTCATTCCGTTACGTGAAAATATAATTTGTTTTAATCGAGGCATTAGTCTTTAAATTAGTGACGGGAAGTTAATACAGAAGAGTGTATGAAGAAATGCCAGGTTGTTGAGTATTTTATCAAATAGTAAAAAAAGTGAAACTGTGGTAAAAGAAGAAAACTTTTGTTTTAGTTATTTCCCTTTAAAGCCAAAGGTTATGCTGATAATTCTAAGTGATTTCTCGGAAATTTGCATGAAATTATGCAAATTCTGCTATGTGGGAGTGTTAACGCTTTCAAAACTGGAAATGCACTCAGCTTAAATAGGAATATTTTATTCTATCGTTTTTATACTCTGAACAGGATATATTAGGCTTGACTTGAAATTTGTTGCACCCAGAAGGAAACGTCGGAGACCCTATAAAATATATATATACAAAATGATTAGCATGACGAGCTGAATCGATTAAGCCGTGTCTGCTGTCTGTCCGTCCGTCTGTATATAAGCGCCCTCAGTTTTAGAGATATCGATCTGAAATTTTGCACACGTCTTTTTCGCCCCAAGAAGCTGCCCATTTGAATAAAAAAAATTTTAAACTCTGAACAAATTCGGGCAACTTCAGTATATTTTTCGAACTAGTTGACATATTTTCCAAAAATTGCTGAATAAACACATTTTCTCATGAAATCAGTCTTTTCCGGCATGCAGTCCTACAAATAACAGTAGGTAATCATTGAAAAGTAGGGAGAAGAGAAAATTTAGAAATCAGTTTAATTTCCTACCGGGTAGGATGCATAATAGACAGTTATGTATGTTTACACACCCACCTGCTTAAACATCTAATAATTGGCGCAGACACTGGAGAAGACAATAAAACAAAAGAATATCAGACGACTGTAGCACCTGCATACATACTTACAAAACAGCCGTACACACATAGCATACATAGTTTTCAATGTATGTGTGTACTTGGCTTGTATAAATATGCGTGTATGAATGGCCAGCAATCCTACGCCCTTTTGCTTTGCTCAGCTTACGCCGCGGCAATGGCATCGCAGTCACCACCTGCTGTCAAATCGTGTAGTAGTCGTAGTACTATTTCCACTGTGGAAATCCAAATGTTAACGGTACCCTAATTCCCTGACTTAGCATGCGGCGTAAGTTGACAAAAGAGTCACGGAATAAATTAGTGCTTAATCACACCGTCACTGCGTCGCAGCGCTGGACGAATGGACAAATGAAAATGAATTCGGTAAATTAACTTAAAAAACAAAAACAAAAAAAAACGGCAAAAATGTATCAAAAATAGAACGAAAGACCAACGGAAAAATCCAATTTCATCAGAATAAATGCAATAAAAAGTCAAACTAATTGGAGCGAAGGTGTGCAAACGACGAGTCTATGGTCAGCCGCATGAAGTGAAGTTAAAAGGAAAGCATAAAAAATCGATAGAAGTGAAAGAGCGAATTATTTTGGCGACACAACTTCAGTAAAAAAGTAATGAAAAACGTACGGATAATTCAACAGGGTGACGGGGAACGAAATATTTTATTAGTAAAAACGATAAAAAAAACTAAAGTGAATAATGTTAAAAAAATATATGCTTAATCATATTTCGGGCAATTATTTAAAAACTTCAGTGAAAGTTTGTGGTCCATTTTTGGTGTTGTGATTTTATTATAAATGCATTTCAGACTATTTTATATATGAAAATTTAGAATGGAAACTTAAAACAAAAAAGAAGTTCTTAATGAAATACCGTTACACTCTACGTCTCACTTTTTGTATAAAAACTTTCCAGTGCTGAAATTGTAGTGATTTTTTCTTCTTCGTATAGTAATTTTCGTTTTGTTGTGGTTTAACTACTAGTTGTCAAGGCTTTCTTGGATTTGTTTGCCCTATGATATAACACATACAGTTATGCGTGTAAACATACACACATTCATATCTACATTTATTCGTAATAACCTTAGACTTTTGTCAGTAAAAACCTTGAAGTGGAAGGAGTGGGCGAAGTTTAGTTTTCGATTCATGAAGGACTACATAACTTCTGAATGAATAATCGCCATAGGAAGTGTTTTCCAAAGATGACTGTGCTTACTTAGTGAGTTGTGTGTGTTTTAATATAATACTTTAGGCTAGATTCTCTAGCAGCGTTTTGTGGATACAAATATAAAGTTATAGAAACGGTTTGGCTGAGTTACTCGTTCGATGGAAAACTTTCGTCAACTGGGCATATATTTTTACGCAAGAAGAACCTCAGACACTCGAAAACATGTATAATCCTATATTTGTAGGGAAGGAAAGTGGGTAGTTTGACTTAAATCTATTTATTTAAACAGGTTAGGTTGAGTAATAGGTGCGAAGTATAATATTTTATCCATTGTGTCGTTTCCGTAAGGTCCAAACTTCAATGCAAGATCTGGAGTGTTAAATTATAGTGTCACTTGAGCTGGTTTAACCTTGAAGTTTTATGATTTTAATCCGTGATCCGGATAGCTACTAAAATCACCTCTGTAAGAAATATTTACTTATGGCGGCAGTACAGTTCCGTACTGTTGCCATAAGAACTTACATGTGTTATAAGTTCTTATCGTTTGGATTCAGATAGGACAAAAAACAAATCGAAATCCCCTTACTTTAAGGGTTAACCGCGATGAAACCCACAATATCGTTTCGGAAAAGTGCAATTTTCTATGCTGAAATCGTTGATAAAAAGCCCAAAAATGTATCTGATTGGTTGCTGTCTGAAGTTACGTATAACTAAGAATTAACTCCATTCGAGATCGTGGGTCGTATACAGGGTTGCAAATAATGCACTAAAAAATAATTTAGTTAAAATTTGAATTCATTTTTTTTTAAATCCAAAAAAGAATGCATTATAATAATGCAATAAAGAAAAAATTTAATTCCGAAAAACCGTATTAAAAATTAAATGATAACTACCGGATTGAAAAATAAAAAAGAAAAATTTTAATCTTAAGTATATAAATAAGAATAAAAAAAAGAATGTGCTGTAGAATTAACATTTTTTCGCGTTCATTCAATTCAAAAAGTAAGATTTTAAATTTTAAATTTTTAATCACAAACATCTTGGTTCAGGCTCAGGAAACACGCTATTTCGACAAGGGCCGACCATAAGGAGAGGGGTGTCAGATAAGTGGGTTTTATGGGGTGGTTAGAGTCATGTAGAGACTCATTGTCTGTAGGACATATATTTGGTATGTCGAGGTCTATTCTGGATAAGTAGGACTTTAACTTGCTACACTATTTAGAACGAAGTTGCGCAAACGTCACTCTAGATTCCCGGTGCAACTCGAGGTCTTCGTCTGCTATGCGTGGTGCTTTAACTTCAAGTACGCCATTCACTAGGAGGGAGTCGGGGAAGTGTTGATGGCTCCACTATGAGTGAGGGCCAGTGTGTATCTGAAATTTTTTGAATCCACAATCTGGTTTCTGCGAAAATATGAGTGCGAGTATAGCGATCCGTTCTGAAAGATATGCTCGAAGATTGTAGCGTTGCCTTGGTTAAAATAGTTATGCTAAATTTCGTGTAGATAATTTGTCAAATAAAAAGCTTCTTCATACATCGATTTGGTTTTGGTCGATCAATTTGTATGACAGCTATATCCTAAAGCGGTCCGATTTCGACAAAAAGTAGCTTTTCGGAGAGAAAAAAACGTGTGCGTAATTTCAAATCAATATCCCATGAGGAGCTAGTTCGCGTATATACAGACCGACAGACAGACAGATGTCTCCGAAATTTCCTTCTGGGTGTTGCAAGCTTCGTGGCAAACTTAATATATATATATATATATATAATATTATATGTTTAAGGTATAATAAATGGTTATTTCTGATTATACATATGTTATATATTTTAGAGCTATGTCATTAGAAAAATTCTCGGAATTATTGGCTAAAATTGAATCAGTTTATTTCAATGTGGAACTATAATCACTATATAGTCTAATCGCGAGTAAAAAGTTATGACCTATCCCGTGAAGCACCCCATGAGATTATTATAGTGAGAACTTAATAACAATCTCAAAACAGATATAATAGCAAGTAATTATATATTTCTTTCTACTTTACTCACAGGTATAAAGGACGTAAAATACAATGGGTTTAACGGAATATTTCAATTGATTTATGTAATTGCCAACAGCATGAGAAAGCCCTGGAAAACCATCGATCACTATAATTCAGCGTAATTACAGGCAATAAAGTAATCGGAGATTGATTTTTTTATTATAAAAGGTGGTATTGGCAGCGGAGGCAAATTAACAAAGGTAACAAGTAATTTAATAAATTTCTAATTTAAAAACTGACAACAATTTTCTTCTGATAGCTGACACAAGAGCACACAAATAGTAATAAGAAAATGGCGAAGACTAAAACTAATAACCTGCTAATGCATGGACTCATTTTGGTGACTATTTTGGCGACTGCCAAAAGTGCCGAGGCGGAAATTACAATGGAGGCAGCTTTTCAAGGTACAAACATACCAATTTCGATATACAAGTATATTAACATGGCTATATACTTGTATATAATAATTCACATTATGTTATGTTTTTACGACTTCATCAAATGTCACACGAGTTCACGAGTTTCAATTCTCCCCTTGAATGTCTCGAATTTGGCATTTACTAATATCAGTAGTCAACAGGCTTCCGGAGAAATTTAATATAGCTGTCAAAAATTGTAGTGTTGAAAATTAGCTGTGGTTGTCATAATTTTACAACACTTGTCGAGAGTGTGGCTTCCACATAATGTAAAGAAATACTATGCCGATGTTCATATCATATCTTTTGAACGGTGTGAGAAAACTCCCTTGAAATAATACTGTAATAATTCAAGGGTGACAACTAACCCCATCGTATGAAGTTCGACTTTAATGAAATTAGAACCATTACTAACAAAATGAGGGAAGTTTGTTAAAGCATGAGAAAGGGTGCTAATGATATTTTGCTGTATAGATAACAGTATTTTTATACTCTCGCAATATGCTGCACAGAGTATAATAGTTTTGTTCAACGTATGTTTGTATCATCTAAAACTAATCGAGATAGGTGTGGAGTTATATATATAAATGATCAGGGTGACGAGGCGAGTTGAAATCCGGGTGACTGTCTTTCAAGGTGGGTTGGGATTGTAGATGGGCGTAATCGGACCACTGCCACGCCCACAAAATGCCATTAAACGAATATTTATGAAGTGTCATAACCAGGCACAAAATTAAGATACAAAACTGTAATTTGGTACAGGGTATCATAGTGGTGAGTGGCACTTGCGGGCTGATTATTTATTTACTAATTAATTTTTAGTATTTTTAACATTTCATTATACACTGTGAAAATGGGTAAAATCAAATAATAACACGATCACTCCCCATATGACGGATATGTTGAAAATTACTAAAGGTGCTATAACTCACAGAATAAAAGAGCTACAAGCATTAAATTTCAAAATCAGAATGGCAAAGAAGGGCTTTATGGGAGCCGATGTAAAAATTCCACAATGGGCGTGGCACCGCCCACTTTTAGGGAAATCCTATATCTCAGAAACTACTCGGCATATTTCAACCAAATTTGGTTTGTGTGGTTATCTAAATATTTCGATCACATACCGTAAAAATAGGTTATGACAACCTCACCTACATTTTTGACACCACTTTAATTTCCATCTTAATTTTTCACTTTCCAGTATAGTACTAATCAAACATCAGTGAAATTATCCAAATTAAATTTTTTACAAATAGTATTGTCAAGGTGTTTAATCTTATGTCCTAAAATTGTCGAAATCGGAATATAACTTTTAAAGGATGCATACACCAAATATGTAAGAAACAGTGCATATAGCTGATATCTTGCGAGAGTGTAAAATGTTTGGTTATAGCCGATCTTAAACCTTCCTTATTTTTTTATATATCACTTAAGATAATTGCTTATCCGTAGCTTATGTAGGAATTAAAGTATTTCAAAATTCAGATCTATGAGGTAAACAATTATTTACTCGATAGATGTCGATGAAATCAAAATGTAACTAAAGGCTTGATCTTCGATCTTTCGACAAGAAAATTAAATATTTGTTAAAAAATCTAAAGATCTTTTTGGACGTCTCTGTGACGTACCATATAATCTCTTGCCCTCTATGACTAAGTTTGGCATTATAAACGTCCACTTCAAGACCTTAGAACTAATCTGATATAATATTTAAACATTTTAATCGGTCTTTGGAATGATTTTTTCATCATTAGAGGTTTATAAGCTTCTCTCTGCGTCTCACTTTGATGGCCATTTCAGAAAAGAGACATCTCAATTTTTTATTTTATGGACAGTACATGGGTGAGGGAGCTAATTTTTTTAGTTTTGGTTTTTGTCATCTTTATGGAATCTTAAAAACAGATGGACTTAAATATAATAAATAAATATAATCTAATAATTTGATTTCTACTACACATTTAGGTCACTGTGGTCACACAAGCCCTTGCGAACAGTTGTGCTACGAAATCCACGATGGAATGTACGAGTGCGATTGCATTGAGGGATACGAGCTGAACAAAAACGGTTACAGCTGTCAAGGTGAGTGGACGTCAAATGAATATCGGAAATAAACTATATTTCCAGTTTTAAAGGGGTTAAAAAAACAAGAAAACTTGTTTTGTTAGAGTCGTAATATTCAGAGTGTTGGGACGTCAGATACGTCGGAGTAGTTTTAAATATCTGTATTGACCTGCAAATGCAAATATGATTCAGCGAAAAAATTTGGCACTCTCTTTTTATTAGATCATCCACTGACTTATCATACTTTCCTATTTAAAGACTCTTATCTAATTGTTAATCTGGTATTGTTTACAACTTTACTTTCCATTCTTTTTAGTAATAAACTCCACGAACAGTGCGGATGGTCATTCGAAATCCGATGAGGACGTACTTTATCAAAAGGGCGCTTCGTTTAGCGCCAAGCTTGGCTATGCACCCTCAACATCATCAATGACTGGTGATACAGCGAATGTGGAGGCTTCAGCGCCCATCTCGTCGGCATCATTCTCAATGGAGGATATCGAGGGTGTAGAGGACGATAACTTTTTCTACGATGACGCAAAGCGCAACGACCAGCGTACAAAGGTCAATTCAAACGATTATTACATATCATCTGAAGACGTCTATTTCAGTAATGGCGATGAACAAGAGTTAACTAATACTAGCCAAGATGTACCTGAGTTGAAAACTAAACTGACAGAATCGACAACGACATGGAGCGCAATCAATTCCCGCCGCGTTGTAGTAACTGCCACAACTGACGATCCCCTAGAAGCGTCAGCAAATAAGAAATCCATACGAATTCATTTGAAAGCGGAACCCAAGCCCACTGCAACAAATAATGGGCCGCACAAGACAAGGACTTTAGCTCGCAAACAAAACGGTATACCGTCAGCATCATCAACAACTACACAAGCAATTAATCATAATGATAATAATAAAAATAAGATAGTGAATACACTGAGCAATGACCTAGACATGGATGAGCCCACCTTTGGTGGTGTTGCCGTCAAGCAGCCCCATCTGCGCACATCCAGTCAGAGTCAAAGTACATATCAGGATCAGCAAACTGCGGTAGCAGTAGATCTATACAATAAAAATAATAAAAGCAACAACATAAAACAATCAGCTGCAGCAACCGCGAGCTCTAAATTGAGCAAGTTGAGCACTACGAGAGCGAACAGCTCAGCATCTACCAAGTAAGTGTTACTGTAAAATTTCAAAATCTTCATTGAATTCACTTTATCTGTTGTTTCCTCAGTGGTCATGCGTGTGACTTGGATTGTGGCACGGAAGGTGTGTGCGAACGTGTGGACGACGCTAACAAATGCCTTTGTCCCTTTGGAAGAAGTGGTGAGAGGTGCTTGGAAGGTGAGTAGAGCTTTATGATGACCTAGAATTCACACTGAAATCGGTCCTTTACTTTATAGAAATCAAAATACGTACGCCGAAGTTTTCGAAGCATTCGTGGTTAGCCTTTCCGGCACTGAGGGGTGCTTATAAGCATGTCCAGGTAAGCGGGGAAACTCTAATGAATTTAAATAATTTGAAACTTCATCTGGAGATTATTTCGGTTAGATTGAGCGAATGGGCTTAATTTTGCAAGACTTGACTTATCGACATCTCCGAAGTGTACAAAGTTTAAGTAGTATTTAAACTAAATACAGTAATAACTCTATTCGTCAATTCAAAAGAATCCGTAACCGCCTTAGTGAATTTAGCCGAGTCTACAGTATTGCGCATATTATCGTAGGATTTTTCTATTCGAAATTTTCGAACTTCCATCCTTTTAAAATGTCAGCTATCTATAAAAAAAACTAAGATTTGGTATTTCAGCTATCCGGCGAGCAATCGCAGAAAGGTAGGACAGTGGTGAGATCATGATTACTATACTTTTTGTAGCAAAAGTCATTCAAAAATACTTTTAGGATGCAATTTCAAGTAGTTTAGATTTAAGCAGGAATAAAAGTCCTCGCAACGTATAAATATTATGGTTAAACGTTTTTAGAGTGGCTTATTAACCAATAATGCACTTTTTTCAGATATATCATTGATATTCTAATATCTAAATATTTTGATTTAGTAAATATGTACACACTTGTCTTATAATGAATTATTGTGGTGAAGCCCAGCCATCTCGATCAGATAAAATGGTGAACTGGTGAAATATGTTTAGATTTAATCATATCAGATATAAGGTCGGTCAGCCGATTGGTCTTTCGAGACAATATGAGAGGCCAAGAACTACTTTACTTAACCTTTCAATCAGACAGTCGACATTGTCCATAGCACGACCTAGAATGTTCTGAGAATTGATTTTCTGCTTAAATTATGTCGATATCGGTGGTTGCTTTACAATGGTGAAATACATGAAAGTGTTATAACCATCGAGAGGGCTGTAAATCTTAGTAGTAATCGGTGCTTTCTTCTTAAAACGAGAATTCAAAACAAAGCAAGGAGAAAAGGGACGTAAATCTTTCTATAACTTTATCCGTCACCGTGATAGGTTCAACTAAGTTCAAATTTGTAATACATTTTAAAATATTACTCAGGATATAGTAATGACAATATTTATCGACATCTGATTTAGATTAAAGTTTTCATACGATAATTAAATAATCAACATTTTATTTTTACAGATACGAGTAGAATTTCGACCAGAGTCATTCGATGGCATAATACTTCTAAGCGGTGAGAGAGATGATTTGACCGGAGATTTTATGACACTACTATTGAATAAAGGATTTGTTGAGTTTTGGTGGGTGCTCCTTGATTTCATTTCTCAAAGCAAACTTTTTATAAACACTTGTATTTTTTTACTTCCAAAAGGTTTGACTGCGGATCTGGCGTGGGCAGTGTTCGGTCACGTGAGACCATATTATTGAACGAGTGGAACTCGGTGATAATTTATCGTCACCGTTGGGATGCATGGTTGGTACTGAATCATGGCACCAAAGTGCAGGGTCGCTCGAATGTAAGTTAAGCTTTACTTTATATCTTCTTGAAATATTTATATTATATATTTAATATTTTCTTTAGGGACTCTTTTCTCGCATAACATTCCGAGAACCGGTCTTCCTGGGGGGCACTGGCAACATCACGGGCTTAACAAAGCGTTTACCCGTCAATAATGGATTTATCGGCTGTATAAGACGCTTTGTGGCAAACGAACATGAGTACAAGTTTGAGGAACATCCTTTGGGGGATGTTACCAAGGGTTTTGACATACGTAAGTCTTATTTGGATTTACGTAAGTAGTAATATACTTATTCACTCTTGTATTATTTTGCAGAGGACTGTGTAACTGATAAATGCTTCACCTATCCTTGTCAACATGGCGGCAAGTGTTTGCCCTCAGATCAGGGCGCTGTTTGTCTATGCCCCATAGGTTTTGTGGGCGATCTTTGCGAAATACGCATGGATCTTCAGGTTTGTTGGAGATTTCCTATTACAATTTTTATTTGTTATACAATTTTTTTCGTAGGTACCCGCTTTTAACGGCTCGTCTTTCCTGCGTTATGCACCACTTGGCGATAGTGCGTTGATTTGGTTGGAACTGAAGGTTGATTGTGCAAATATATAATATATATATATAAATAATATATTAATATTTGATATATATAATATTACTTTATGTTTCTTGTTTTTAGATTATTTTGAAAGCGGAACAACCCGATGGTTTAATATTATATTCAGGTTCGGCGAAACATGGTGACTTCATTGCATTATCCCTGACCGGTGGTTTTGTTGAGTTCGTCTTTGATCTTGGCAGCGGTCCTGCTGTTGTAAGGTATGTATTGAAAGTATATATTTAAATCTAAACTATCAGAAATACTACACTGATATGAAAAAGCTCATCAAAAGCCAACAAATAAGTTTATAAATTCTAAGACATTTCATCTGTAGGGTAAGATGAGGTGACAGTTTTTGATAGAAATAGAAATGAGGGGTATTTTCCCTTACAAACCTTACTGCGATTTTATGAGAAAATAATAGGTAGAATGTTAACCACAGGGTGTATTTACATAAAAAATCAATGGTCAATGATATAGATAAGAAGCTTTCTTTAAAGCTGGTGAATATTTTTCATGTATGAATATTTCCCACGTGGTATATTTCCGTAAAAAGTAAGATGGTTGTTAATCGTTAACCAAGGTTTGCTCTGAAACTTCTGGATGGTTTTTAAGGAGTGCTTTAATAGAAATGACGATCCCGATAATTTATTCCAGACCCTAATACTTTTTGTGTCGTTAAAAATTTTGGTTTACGGTATTTAGCATTCCGGCAATAGTTTTTTATATATGTTTGAAAATGTTTTAAGACATTTTTATTTTCGGAAATCGGTTGAAGAGGTTTTATTCTATATTTAAATATATTTATCCTAACATTGAGCTGAAGAAATTTTATATTTCAGGAGCGAGTATCCTTTAAGCATTGGACAATGGCATACTTTAAAAGTGTCACGCACAGCACGATTAGCGGTTCTAAAGGTAAATAAAATAACCATTAAATAGTATTTAAAAGTGGATATTGAATTACCGTTATATCTTTTACTTTCAAAATTTGTTACAGATCGATACATATCCGGAAGTAATGACAATCTCCTCAAATGGTTTCTGGCATCTCTCACTGCCCGAAAATATATTTTTGGGTGGCGTTAATCACGAAGATAAGTTACCTTTGGATCTGAAATCGAAAGCGTTCTTCGTGGGTTGCATGCAAAAGGTAGAAAAAATTTCTCAGAAGGCAATCTTTATAAAAAAAAACATACATATAAACTTTATTATATTACAGATCGATATCAATGGGCATTCATTGTCAATAATTTCGGAAGCTTTAGGCGGCACAAATATCGGCAATTGCCCGCATGCCTGCGTGGCAAGGCCGTGTGGGCCACTTGCCGAATGTATACCCCAAATGGAGAGTTACGAATGCCGTTGCAACGCTTTCAGCACTCAATGCAATATGGCAGCCGAGGTGCCGATCGAAGAATTACAAAAGAATAAAGCCAAGAAGAAGGAAAATAAAGAAAAACACAAAATGAACGGTAAACACTCTGCACACTTATCCAAGCATACGAAAGATGCTGGACACTTAAAATTTCGTATGAGTAAAGTGCCTTCTAAGGGTATAAAAGCGCCCAAAACCCACCACACCACAATTATTCCCTCAACGGAGCGCACCACATCTTCAAGCCACAAACGCATGGAACATGGCAGTCGGCGTAGGCAGTCATGGGAGCCGCTTATAATGGAGGATGACGTGGAAGAGAAGGCAGATGATGATATAATATATCGTGATACACGTCGTCTGGACGAAGAAAGCTATTATAATGAAGAGCCGTTACGTAGCAAACATAAGAAAGAAAAGCGTAAAGAGAAGCAAACGATAAAGGAAAGTGAAGTATGGTCGACGAAACACGGAGATAATTCCAAAGTCCGCGGTAAGGATGATCATCAACACAAAAACGTTTACAATTTTAAACTAAGCCGATTGCCGACACACTATGAAAGCTTCCAAACGAATCCGGAAATCGACATATTGACATTCGATGAGAATGTCGAAGTGAAAATTGGTGTGGACCAAGACAGGGATTACGAGCAGGTGCAGGATGCGAAACAGAAAAATGCTAACGATAACAACAACGACATTGGATCGACACAAGTTTTCAAACAGGATGATTTCGATAGTATACCTTCCGCGTGGAAAAACGACGTGATCGAAGATGATCGGCGACATGCGCACGATGCCATGAACGAAGAAACAAAATCCGAACCATTTTTTGTGGACGACATATTGTTCGACACTAAAAACGACGGCACTGAAGATTATCATCGTAAGGAGCTGGTACAAGATATGAGACGCATACTCGCGAATGGTCCCGAGCATACGCCTAATAATAAAGCGCTGAAGCTAGTCGTAGATGAGTATGATTACGAAAGTGACGATATTAGTCAAGAAAGCCCAACGAAATTCAATATAGATGAGAAAAATAGTTATAACGGCACTTTTAGCATGTCGTCGGAACTCGATGTTGAATTTAGTGAAATGAATGATGATATTCTCGAACCGGTGCAAACAGTCGTTGCGGAAAAGGCGACTACAGTTAAACAAAATAAACCGTCCCCCACCATTGATACCCAAACGGATTGGAGTTTATTGAAGAAAATGCAATTACCCGCTGATCATCAGAGTCAATTTGTTGGTGTACGCAAGAATTTCGGCGCTTGCTTTGCTGGCGAAGACAGCTACTTTCATTACAACGATGCCGAGACGATGAGTCAAGTTATAAGCTACAATATAGACTTGAATTTACGCATTAAAACCCACTCACCGAATGGAGTTATATTGTGGACTGGCCGACAAGGCACGACAGATGAAAATGCTGACTTTCTATCTTTGGGTATAGAAAATGGGTATGTAACTGAATTTATTCGTTAAACTTTACATTGAACTTCGGTAATGCTCAAAATTTCGCCAAAACCTTTTACAGCTAGTATTATAGTACTGAATATTTTTGAAAAATATTTGGAATTGTAACCACCTCAATTTGGTTTTAGAAAGTTGTTCGAAAAAAAATATAAACACTGTGCTTAATGGAAACAGTATCTTATTTACAAAGCCTTTCTCAAATTCCACACAACGGATCAAAATTCTCGATTTAAACTTGTCGTTTCTGTTTTAAGTTTCTTCTTCGCTGCTATACAATTTTAAACTCCCTTTATTCTTTAAACTTTCAGTTATCTACATTTTCGCTACGATTTGGGTTCCGGAGAGGTCGATATAAAATTCAATACGAGCCGCGTAAGCGACGGTCTTTGGCATCGGGTTCGTGCTTTCAGGTAAGTCAAATGTCTTGGATATGATTAGATACAACCGGTTTGAGTTTAATTCAAAGTAGCTGAAACTCGTCAGCTTTTTCATTATTCCGTATATTCCTATGTGTTGAGAACCAAGATAATTGCGATGTTGAATTATCATCACAGATCAGAACTAGAAACTGTCGTATAGCTATTAATGACACTGCTATTTAACATTGGGAATGATAAAGCCAGCAATGCATTTTCGTATTGTCAGGAGTAAAGGGTGCCATTCTGTATCCCCTAAATTTTTGGCTAAGCCTAAAATATCAATGGCGTCGAGCTACTTCACGATAACTGAGCTCACGGAATGCAGTAGTCAATATATTTCATATCGAAATTTTCAGTTTTTTGGTCTAACAATTTTTAGATTAGAAAGAAAAATTTGTTTCATTAACATTTTTCAAAAATACCCACCCTAATGTAAGATTTCTCATATTTTGAGCATATTTTTATAAGTCAGTATTTTCGAATTCGAAAAAAAGTGTAATAAATACACGACGACACTGCGTAATCAATTTTAATTGTCAAAGAAATCACTCTACCGAATGACCAATGAAGACTATGCTTAGGTTTAAAAGGAGACAAGATGTAATTATCTCAACACTATCTACTTGAGTGTCCCCCCTTTGCGAGATCAAAATTGAAATATCATTGCTCTGACACCTTTGGCCATACAGAAGTACTAGCCGGTACATATTTGTTATGGAATCGCGGAGTTTTATTGATACTTGAAATCCAGCTTCAGGAGTTTTCTGACTTTATACAAGAATTTATCTTTAGCTGTCCAAATATCATATCCAGCTTGAGTTTTAGTTGTAGAATCTAATATAAACTCTATTATTAGCAATATTTAAAATCCATGACAATTCGATTAATACAGATATTGGGCATTATATTTTGGCGTGATTAAAAGCGATTTTTTTTATTCTATAGCCCTCACGAATTAAAAGTTTTTATTTTCTCGAAGATGCATGGCTTGATTCAGTTTATGAAATATTATGGTTATACAAAATTTCTCAGTCTGTTCTCTCAGTTATGGATAAGTTGTTGTTGAAGGGTAATTAAAAATCATAACATATAAAAGTCCGAGAATGTCATCAGCAGTCGGGAATCACCCATACTATTTTGAGGTAAACTCCAAGTTAAGCCCCTGTTCTGCAGGGTGGTGTCCTCTCCCAATTACTGTTTAATTTCTACTTTTCTAAACTCCCTCAACCACCAGAGGGAATTTCCAACACCTCGTAGGCAGATGATTGTACTATATCGACGTCAAGCAATGGCCTCGATGACATGTGTTCGAAAGTAAATGGCTATCTCTCCGACCTTTCTCGCTTCTACTATGCAAGGAGCTTGACACTCTCACCCGCTTAATCCACAGCGACCATATTCACGAACTGGAGAAAAGAGTACAGACTGTATTTTAATCGACTACGTCCGACTGTCAACAACCCAAAAATTTTAGTTGTTACGTTCGACAGCCTATGCTTCTTCACTCCTCATACGACCGCGTTTACTGCCAAAGTAGAGAGCCGCAACAAAATCCTCAAGTCGCTAGCCCAAGCAGTTTTTATTGGGATGTTTTCCATTCACAGTGGGGCCATCAACACCTTCACCGACTCCCACTCATTGAATGGCGTACTTGAAGTCAAACCACCACCCATTACAGACGAAGAGCTCGATTTGTCCGGAGAATCTAGAGAGACCCTTGTGCGACTTCGTTCTTGATACTGTGGCAGGTTAAACTCCTACTTGTCCCGAAAAGACCCCGACAAGAAGAAATACCTCCAGAAGAAAAAAATATCGGTTTCAAGGAAGAAATTCGACTCATTTTTCATTTTCTACTTAATTTATAAGTATATCTACATATACTGCGTATGGTAATATTTCATTTCTTTGCCTTCAACAGAGACTCACAGGCTGGCTACTTGGAGATAGATGGCAGAAAAACAACAACGCAATATTCGCCGGGCAAATTAAAACAATTGAACACAGACACCGGACTCTATGTCGGTGAGTGACTCGAGAGAAACTGATTTGCTTGCAAATTTTTAAGTGAAATATATTCTTGTTTATACTCGTGTATTAAATATTTTTACAGGTGGCATGCCCAATGCGATTTATTTCACACGACGAAAATATGCGAATGGGATTGTCGGCTGCATTTCGGAGATTGTGTTGGCTGGCGAACTGAAACTGAATTTCGATCCTAACACGCTGGGGACAGCACACAATGTCGAAACGGGATTACTTTGAAATACCGTTATAAAAACGTATCAACAACCGTCAATACTACTGACACTAGTTTAATAGTCTGTTTGGTTTGTTAGAACAGTGAGTACTTTTTCGGTTTGTACAAAGAGATGATTTTACACTCAAAAAGAAAAACAAAACAAGAAATTAAGAGAAATGAATTAAATCTAAATTAGTTAAACTTAGAAGGTAGCTAATATGTATACATGTATACTATAAATATATACACACAAATATACATACACACACAAATTTGCAGCTGAAAAAATTGCGCATAAATAACGTACATACATACACACAAACATATGTATATGCATAATAGATATATAAAAACACACACACACACATATATATATATATAATATATACAACTATATATAAATATATATATTTTAAATAATGCTTCAACTAAGCCTGTGACTGTCAATATTTAAATAAAAAAATTAAGAAAATAAAAAAAAAACTATTACAACAAAAATGTATGCAAAACACCACACAAAATATTATAGTAAAACTTACAAACTAAACTAAAAAATATAAATAAAAAATTTAAAAATTAAAAAAAAAAAATTTAAATAAAAAATAAAAAAATTTAAGAAAAACTAATGAAAACGAGCGTAATGAACATAAGATGGCTAATTTGCATCGCATTTTTCTACAAAAACAAGCAAATTTAAGAAAAAAACATATTAAAAAACCAAAAAGCTGAGAAAGAAAGGTTAGTTGTACTGAATGTTTAACTTGAATTCTCACAAATTCTGCAAGTCACGTAAACGTAAGCAAAAACAAAGGGCAATCGAATGTTAAAAATAACAGTGAGCCCGAGTAAACAGCTGTCTCAGATGTCAGCGGCACCTAATAAATAAAAAAATATAATAATGCATACATACAGACACCACACCTAGGTACATACATATGTGTGCGTCTGTGTGCACATTTGCATAACTACATATATAATATTTATAAGCATAAAAATAAAGTAGTGTAGGTATTGGTGTAAACACAAATACTCAGACATCACACATATAGCCACACACAAATGCATACATATGAACGTCTGCTGCAGAAGTAACGATAATTTATTTGGTGTTGTAGTGGTAATTGTAAGTTAAATTTAAAGTCACACAAACTATGTATGAAACGGCAGATGTGCAGATACGATATCATTTATGTTTAAGAGCTGGAGAATAGAAACAAAAAAATATATATTAAAAACAAACAAAAAAAAAAAAAGATGTATAAGAAGAGAAATAACTAAGCAAAATGCAAAACACTTTTTATAGCGAAATTTTGAAAATTTTTAAATTGTATTAACACAAACAACAAAACGTATAACATTACATTTATTTGCATAAGCAAACTATGTATTTATCGATAAAAAACAACAACAACAATTAGTGCGAAACTTACACGCTTTACATGAATATATGTGTATGTACTATTTAGGATATGTCTCACATATGTATGCTACCAGCCACTAGCTAAATAACACAAGCCAAGTGTAAGCAAGCGTTTTCAAAAACAAAAATATATATATACGAGTATAAAAATAAATAAAAATCAAACACACAAGCATACACATACAAAATAGCAAATATGTACATACATACATACAGACATGCATAAATACATACACACAATTTATTAAGCCCACTTCTATTTATTTCTACAAAGATATAACATGCAAACATATCGAATTGGCTCTTAAATGCCGGAGAATTTACATATTTGCTTTCGAATTTTTTAAATGCGTTTAAATTTACTATATAATATTTTTTTTTGATTCTTTTCAATGCGCTACGGTTACGAATAACAAGCAACATTTTTTCACAACTGCGTATTTTCAATGTAGTTGCATATTAAGGTGTGTATTTTTTTTCATATTATTTTTTAAAACCTAAAAAATATATTAAGCACATAAATTCACATAAATATACCGTTACAAAATATGAATGTATTAAATAAAAAATACAGAATAGAAAATTTTTTTTTATAAAAGTATTTTGTATAAAGAAATTGTGTGACATGACAACGCTATTTCGTTTTTTAAGGACATTCTTGTGAAAAAAATAACTGATAGTGGCATAAATATGGTGAATATCGTTTGTTCTTTTAAATATTATGTAAAAATCTATAACAGAAGTTTAAAAAAGTCATAAAGTTGTGATATTATTCCACAACTGTGTAATACAAAAATATAATTTTCACCCGAAATTTTTTCTCTTCGAAATGGATAATTTTGAATAACAATAAACCTTAATCGCTTAAAATATATATAAACCATTTTGATAATGGAGATTTTTTTCAACAAAAATAAGAAAAGATTTTTAGATTTTTCTTATTTTCTCAAAGAAACCGCATTTAAAAACGTAATACAAATCAATATTTTCATCCAATGCAGTAGATAATATATTTCATATCGAAATTTCCAGTTTTTTGGTCTAACAATTTTTAGGTTAGAAAGAAAAATTGGTTTCTTTAACAAATTTTTCAAAAATGCCCACCCTAATGTAAGATTTCTCATATTCTGAGCATATTTTGATAAGTCAGTATTTCCGAATTCGAAAAAAAGTGTAATAAATACACGACGACACTGCGTAATCAATTTTAATTGTCAAAGAAAGCACTCTACCGAATGACCAATGAAGACTATGCTAAAATTTATCGTTAACGTCATTTATGTTTGTGAAAGCGTATTTTACGACACCTTGCTGTTATATGTATCCATCAGATTGGATCAGAGACATCTTAATTGATAGTTTGCCCTCTAAAAATGTCACAAAGTGGTCTTCAATGGAAAAACGGTTCAAAATGTCGTCAAACATATATTATTTGATAAAATTTAAATATGAAAAAAACAGCAATAAATGTATCTGTATGTATGTTATTAGAAGAAAATATATTTTTTTTTTGTCACAAAATTTGTTTGGTTATTCAACAAGTATTTGAGTTATCAAACTGCCCTGACTGTATTAAAAACGCCTGTCCATTTCCCAAGTCAATTACGTGAATTTGTCAATTAATCGCACATCAATTAACTATTCTCGTGTATCTTTTAAATTTTAAATATGAAACGAAATAAGACATTTCCTCTAATTATAATATAATTAAGCAATTTCATACTAGACAACTGTTCACTGAGTTCGATATATATTGTAATTTCATTAATCTAAAAACCATTTCAACCAAATTTTTATTTTAATTTTTAGCAATACTTTCATTAATTTTCTATTCATTAATATTTCATTTAAAAATTGTTATAATTACGTAAATATCCGTCCCAGAAAGAAGAAATTACCTAATTATTGTTATCTCTTTCTTTCATGTTTCAATGATGGTATGTTTACTAATATTCTACGTTAAAATTCCACTGGAGTCAAACAGTCACTGACTTATTGAACTGATTTTGTAAGATTAACTACCATTATTTTACTACACCTTTAATAACATGGGGCGCTAATATGATTAAAACACCGAACACATAATTTTTTAAATAAAATTATTATTGAAAAAAATATAGTTTTTAAAAAAATTTTCGAAACTCTTCAACCCTAAAGAGCAATAATTTGTAGACGCTAATAAAGATTTGTAGTTTCCCCCCACATACTCCCCTTAAAAATACGTTTTAACTACACATTTTTGTTCTAAGACACAACTAAAAAGCTTTACTGTCCATGTAACTAATTGATTTATCAAAAATTATCGCAATAATATTTAACAAAAAACGCAAACAATATGTGCAAAACAATCTAGTAGCAAAAATGCGTATTTATTGATTGTATACACCGAATGAAGTAAACAAATAAATACAGATAAATGAATTGATGCCTATAAAAGTGTGTTTGAATATAATTCTCCGAGGGGGTGGTGGGTAATTACAGACCAATAATAAGAACCTCCACACAGGTCAGATCTATGGAAACGAACGTTGGTTAACTACATATAACTTCAATAACAATAACTTTAAAAGTTGCGCTTAAAGAAGTTATAAATAGTGGCTATAACATACTATTTTATAATATTAAGAAACATTTTAAATTACGGTTTCATTTAATTCCTTTCATTGATATTACAACCACTAATACCACAAATTCTTTATTCATGAAACGAATATTCCGATATTTTCTCTGCCAGCATCATCGTTCGATCATACATAAGTTGAAAATTTATAAATTATAAATTAATTTCAATATTCCTTTTTTTTAATTAAAATCTGCTAAGAAGGCACTTACTGCGCTCTTTTCGGTAGTGAAACTCGTTTGTTAGAACGACCTTGAAGACTTGAAGTGAGGCAATCTTAATATCCGCATTATAAAGTGGCATGTGTTTTCGTTTCAAAAGAGTTTCCGCTTTGAAACCATTAAAAGTTAGCTGTATTCCATATCCGGTGATTACAACAACTTAGGAACTATAGCGATTTAACATATTCACTCATATTTATTGCAAATAAGAGCACTTCTAACCATAAATCTGTTAAAATCAATTTAAGTACAAAATGGCTGATCCGCGGATGGCTAGCTTGTGAATTAATTTGCATAACTAAAATGAAGTAAGGTGGTATAAAGTGAGAATGGAGTCGGACATTAGCATATAACTCCCACATTCTCCATACGATAGCTGAGTCATATAAACCATAAGTATCTATAAACAAGTAAGGAAGGGCTAAGTTCGGATGTAACCGAACATTTTATACTCTCGCAAAGTTAAATGGAATATTCGTTTGAGACTGCTTTATATATTTTAACAAGTAAGGAATGGCTAAGTTCGGATGTAACCGAATATTTTATACTCTCGCAAAGTCAAATGGTATACTCGTTTGAGATTTCTTTGTGGATTGACAGATATTTTCGTAGAAGGTCAACTATAGGCACTGGTCCACATATTTAGTACTTAGGGGCTTGAACAGTTTTGGTTCGATTTAGACAATTTTTGGCCGCAAGGTGGCATTCTTTAATTGCATTATTCACGCAAAGTTTTACCCCGATATAATCATTGTTACCTGATTTGCATAGTGGAAAGTGAAAGAATCAGATGGAATTAAAAATGGTGTTACATGGGAAGTAAGCGTGGTTGTAGTCCGATTTCGCCCATTTTCGCACTATGACATAGAAACATGAAAAGAACGTTATGCACCGAATTTGGTTGAAATCGGTTAAGCAGATCTCAAGATATGGGTTTTCACCTAAAAGTGGGCTGTGCCACGCCCACTGTCTAATTTTGAACGCGGTTCCTATAAAGTCATCTTATACCATCTCAGAGATAAAATTTAATGTTTTTGGCGTGTTTAGTGCTTGATTTATCGCGCTTTTAGTAGTTTTTAACAGTACCGTTATATGGGGAGTGGCGGGTTGCCACCCGATTTCAACTATTTTCACACCGTCAATAGAAGTGCTAAAAACATTTGCTTCCAGGTTTTGTTGTTATAGCATTAGCGGTTTAGGAGATATGCACATTAAACCTATTAGAGGCGGGACCACGCCCACTTTTTAAAAAAAATTTTAACTGCAGATGCCCCTCCCTAATGTGATCCTGTGTACCAAATAACAGTCTTGTATCTTATTGCGGAGCTTAGTTATGGCAAGTTATTTGTTTTTGATTAATGGCGTTTTGTGGGCGTGGCAGTGGTCCGATTACGCCCATCTGCAATATCAACCGTCTCACGGTACCAAGAAACATGTCTACCCAGTTTCATAAAGATATCTCAATTTTACTCAAGTTAGAGCTTGCACGGACGGACGGACAGACGGACGGACGACAGACGGACGGACGGACAGACAGTCACCCGGATTTCAACTCGTCTCTTCATCCTGATCATTTATATATACATAACCCTATATCTAACTCGATTAATTTTAGTGATACAAACAACCGTTAGGTGAACAAAACTATTATACTCTGTAGCAACAGAGGTGCCAGAGTATAAAAATGTAACCAAGTTATAATATCCTCAAACAACGTTCAACATCCGGGTATTTGAATCCGACACAATCTTCCGGCGTACCATGAAAAGTTACAAACCAGCCGCCAATAGGCCATTCACAATAGCACATGGAATTATGGTGCATATTCGGGTTATGAACGTGACTATCATTGTTGGTTCGAAGCTTCGGAGAATTCCTGTTTCCTAATTATAGCAAATGTATGAGAAAAATTATAGAATTCATTTATACATAATTTTTGATATGTAACAAATATTTGTTTCTTATTATTTATTCGCTACCAACCAGTTTAATAATGGAATAAAAATTAAAAATATTTTGTAACACATAATTTGCGCTAATTCACACATTAATTTATGGCAAACATTAGGCTTGCGCAAACTTTATATAGTTCATTCGCACTCATTGTGAATGATTAGTAGAATAAGAAGTTTATATCGAGTTGAAAATTGTGCATGATTTATATTGCCTAACTGCAAAGTTTTAATAGAAAACAGCAAAAATTTATAAAGTTTCACAAACTATCTTTTTGTAAAATGCCACCAAAGTTGCTGTGGCAAAACTGTGTTGAAAATTTTCGCTCGATGTATAGACAAGTCAGCTGTTTGGGCCAACAAATCAGCCGCTGCTAGTCTGCAACCAATTTATTTTTCAATCAGCTTAGAACAACTATCGTTATTAGCAAAGATAACTATTAAATACGTACTGCAAAACTTTGACAATTGTTTAAAATCGGCGGCAGTGACTTATAAGGTCTTTGGTCTCGTTATCCAGTAAATTTCCAGTTGAGTTTTATACGATGGCAGACAACGCAGATAACAGAGGTGATACATCTGCCCAACCACCCTCGGCTCCCCCAGAACCACAACAACAGCAACAACAATCGCAACCACCGCCACAGCCAGGCGTAAATAATCCCAATATCAATGCTAATGTGCCAAACTTTGCTAATGTTTGGAATGTGGATCTAACAGCAAATCCATTCAATTTTAACAACAATCGAAATCGTGGCGGACAAGTAAGTACTTTTCGCTCAAAAGTGTGTAAATATTGATCAATATAAGTGAATTAGTTAATTTTTTGTAATATGTGAGAACAATATCATTCTAGA